CTTTGACAGTTGTCATTACCATAGAACAGTGGTTTTCAACCTGTGGTCTGCGGACCCCTGGGGTTCTGCAGACTCTGTGTGAGATTTCCAAAGGTTGAAAACCACTGTTCTAGAGGATAAGGATAATCTTGTGATTGTAGCACAGGATGAAATCTGGGTTCTTTTCCTGCTGTCATCACAGACTTTCCTGTGTGATCTTGGGCAAGTCACTAATCTCTCTGTTCCACACTTTCCCTTGTTGTAAAATAGACTAATACTTGGTACACATGGGTGTTGTGAGATTAATGTAATGTTTGTAAAACACACCTTTCAAATGTCATCTGGAGAGTGTTACATAAGTCCAAAGCATTGTTAGCCCGGTGGGATATTTGCTATTGGCATTTATTTTTATACAGAAAAGAGGTTTCAAGTAGCATTTTTGTGAGTAGTTTTGTAGCCAAATGACCAAGATTGATCTAAAGGAAATGCAGAGGTTCATAAATTATGTAAGCACTATTGGGTTATAAATAGTTCTTTGTTTTACTACAGAAGAAACACAGCTAGTTTTTCATTATGAAGAGATAGAGCAGTTTGTACTTTGATTTTTAATACAGTGGAAACAATTGTTCATTGTTCTTTATTTGTACTGTTCCGAAACTGTTAAGGAACTAGTTTTGGCTGCTTTTCACATCATTTTTTTATCATTAAAAAGCCACAAGAATAATTTTTTCTAGATCTGCCAGAAAAACACCATTCTAACTACTATATTGTCTTGCTTTTTTCTTGTTTAAAATTATCTCTAGCTGAAAAGCAGTAAAGTCAGTGATACCCTGCAACTAAAGTGGAGCAAGAGCATCTGCACTATTCTCTTATTTTCTTAAATCCACCAATAAATAAATAAATACCCTACACTCTGAAATGAGCGTGGGGTGAAATGTCTGTTTAAAATCTTTGAGATAGTCAACTGAATCACAATTCTTTCTGAATCATATTCCAAATGTTGCTATTTATTTTTCTGCTTATATCCTGTCCATGGGACTCTCTTTGATGTCACTGCAAGTTTGGTGCACAGAATGATTATACAATATCCGATAGAGATCTGCACTGCAGATAACAATATGCCTTGTAGGTTAGAAAGGGGAATTTGATTGGAAGCCTTGGTTTGAGAGGAATTTACAGATATAACGAGGACTTCCATTTTGTGGTATCACTTCTTAGTAAACGATAAACATTTCACTCTTTCCTTTCACAGTCCTGCCACCCCATGATTTTTTCTCTGGTACCAACTACAGTCATATAAATGGTTTTTAGATGATCTTTTCATCTTTCATTCAAGCCTTCTGCTCCCTCACCCCATTATTTCTGTTATATAAAGTTTTAAAGGTTGATTTCTTTCATGTTTCTTGCTTTACCTTCAGATAAAACTGGCCCTATCTCAATATAGTCTCTTTTATTTTGAAATGTTTCATATTAATTTCCATCTTAATTCCTGTTCCTGAAAAGCACCCCTCACCTGAACAATTCTGATTGGGAGAAACATGAGGCAGGCTTTGGATTTTTCTTTTGAATGTTAAAAGCTAAATCAAGAGTTGTGGAATGCTGTTATTCAGCTTTGTGGTTTTGCTTTGTTTTTTAAAAGCAGATGTCAAGAATTGTAACACTCAAAAACCAGTCGGAGAACACAAACCTTCCTGGACACTCAATTATAGACCTAAATGTCGCAATTCTTCAACAAAAAAACTTCAAAAACAGACTCCAATAAGAAACTGCAGACCTGGAATTAATTTGCAAACTGTACACCATTAAATTAGGCTTGAATAAAGACTGGGAGTGGATGAGTCATTACCAGAGGTGAAAGTAAGCCGGTACACCCCGGTATGGCGTACCGGCAAGAGCCAGTGCACCGTACTGGGGCAGCCCGGCTTCCCCAGGGGGCAATTTAAAGGGCCTGTGGCTGCAGCCCCAGTGGTTGGAGCCCCAGGCCCTTTAAATTGCCTCCAGAGCCCGCTGCTGGAACCCTGGGGTAGCGGCTGCGGGGCTCCGGCGGCTATTTAAAGGGCCCAGGGCTCCCCTGCTTCTACCGCCCCGGCCCTTTAAATAGCCGCTGGAGCCCCGCCGCCGCTACTCCAGGGCTCCGGGGGCTATTTAAAGGACCAGGGCAGTAGAAGCAGGGGAGCCCCAGGCCCTTTAAATAGCCCCCAGAACCCTGGGGTAGCAGGGGCTATTTAAAGGACTGGGGCTCCAGCTGCCTCTGCCACTCCAGTCCTTTAAATAGCCGCTGGTGCCCCGCCGCTTCCCCAGGCCTCCGACGGCTAATTAAAGGACCGGGGCAGTAGAAGCAGGGGTGCCCCAGGCCCTTTAAATAGCCCCCAGAACACCGGGGGGCTGCTGCTGCTACCCTGGTCGGGGAGGAGGAGGAGGAGGAGGAGAAGGGGGGGCACTTACCTTACAGGGTGGGCTGTGGCTGGCTCTGACTCCCCCTCAATCCTGCCCCTTCCTCCCTAGGCCCCACCCCTTCTGGGGGCCAGAGCTGGCCCCAGCGTACTGGTAAGTCACTCAACTTACTTTCACCCCTGGTCATTACACAAACTAAAAACTATTTCCCCAAGCTAATTTTTCCCCTACTGTTACTTACACCTTCCTGTCAACTGTTTGAAATGGGCCATCCTGATGATCACTACAAAAGTTTTTTTTCTCCTGCTGATAATAGCCCTTAATTGATTAGTCTAGTTAGAGTTGGTATGGCAACACCCATTTTTTCATGTTCTCTCTCTATATATATATCTTCCTAGTGTATTTTCCACTGCATGCATCTGATGAAGTGGGTTTTAGCCCACGAAAGCTTATGCTCAAATAAATTTGTTAGTCTCTAAGGTGCCACAAGGACTCCTCGTTCTTTTTGCTGATACAGACTAACACAGCTACCACTCTGAAACCTAAGCTCAATATGACTGTAATTGCACAGGTATCTAGTAGTTTCTGTTTTTAAAGACATTTCATTCTATCTGGGCTGTATGTTTGTGGCAATCAGCACTTTATTTGCATGTGTGTGTGTGTAATTGGGTGCACCTTTGCGCCTGTCATCTTGCCCCACAGAAACTGCACAGACTCCACTGATTGTGCATTCACAGTACCACTTATTTGAGTTCCCTCCACCAACACCACTACAGTCCCCACACAACAGTCTATTTAATATAGCCTATGTACTTTTGGCCCACACATCAGGAGCTGAGATAAGCAGAAGTCTCTTCCCGGAGGCCTTTGAGACTAGCTAGCCCTGTTCCTCTCACCCAGCACTCCCTTCCTGTGTCTCTTTATCCTTCTGAGCAGATGGGCTAACTGGTTCTGTCTCACCCTGCTTTCAAGCCTGACTATCTAATTACCTCAATCAGCTTGGGGGAAAAGAGGGTTGGGGAAGGACGGCATGGCCAAAGCATAGAGCATACAAATGATCCTGGGCTGCTGAAATGACCCCTATGTAGCTAGTATGTATTAGAACTTCTCACTGGCTGCTCTAATGTGAGTTGGAGGCTAACTTCAGGCTTCAACTGCCCTAGGATTGAGGTGTGGGTTGTAGAATGCTACCTCTGCTTCTCCTCCACTTCCCCTTAGCTGTGCCAAGCAGAGCCTGGTGCAACTGAGAATCCAGCCCTCAAAGTTTAATGGACTTCAAGACATGGGGCCAAATTCATCAGTAGTGTAACTCCATGAAGTCAATGGAATTACACTTAAGATGAATTTGTTTCAGTGTTTCTTTATGTGACGTTCTTTATGAGGTTAATTTAGTGCTTGTGGAAGAAGGTGGCCTGAAAACCTTGGCTCTTTATCCACAGAGTAGACATTAGAAGTGCAGGTTTCCTCACGCTGCCCTTCAAATGTAAATCCACCATGATTTGGAATGACTAATTCAAGATACCATGGATAAAAAGGTAGTTCTGTCTCCACAATTACTTAATCCTTGGCCTAGGCTAAGACTGACAATTTATGCCAGTTTTGATGGTGACATTTGTAACGTGGGCATCTGTCCACTAGAAACTGGACTAAGGCCAGCAACTTATTTTACTTAGGCCACCTAATGGCATTTTGATGGTAAGATTTAATTTTTCAGTCACTATTGACTGGTGTCAGATTTTAATTAACGATCTAAAGCCTGATCTTGCTATGCTTGAAGACATTACTCTGGAAAAACTCCTTTTGACTTCAGAACGTTTTGCCTAAGCAAGGTCTGCCGGGTTCAGACCTCTACAGATTGAAGGTGCTATACTCCAGTATCAAGCTGTGGTCAAAAAGGCACCCTAGTGCAAATTTGCCATACTTAATTTCCTGATTTTTATTTCTTTATCATTGAAAATGAGGGCATAGGGAAAACATGTCCTCACATCTGCATAGTGATGTTTGCAGTGTATGGTTTCTTTTTTAAAGTTCTCTTTCTTCATTTGAACCACTCCCTCGACAGAGAGGAGGAACAATAAGATGGCAAAATGTTTCTGGTGATCATTTATACAATGTGTGTTAATTAAAAAAATGGAGAGGAAGGCAATGAGAGTTAAAGCCCAAGATGTGGAGTCTGTATAACTGAATTCCATTCTTGCTTTTCCTACAGACTTAATGTGCGGACTTAGACAAGTAATTTAACATCCTGTACCTGTTATCTCATCTGCAAAGTTGTTATACCAGTGCTAATCTCCCTCACAGAGTGTTGTGAGCCTTAATTTATTGATGCTTGTAAAGTGATCTGAGATCCTTGGATAGAAGGTGCTATAAAGTATGTGAGCCTGTATATTAATCTTCATTTATATCTATCTATCTATCATCTATATAAATATGAATGTGTATATACATACATGTTCACCAAATGCTAATATTTGTAAAGCTAAATGTTATACTTATAGTACAATGAATGTATAATTATTAGGGGTGTCAAGAAATTTTAAAAATTAATCTCGATAAAGCGCATTATTCAAAAAATTAATCATGATTAATTGCACTGTTAAACAATAATAGAATACCATTTATTTAAATATTTTTTGATGTTTTGTACATTTTCAAATTTATTGATTTCAGTTACAACACAGAACACAGTGTACAGTGCTCACTTTATATTTATTTTTGATTTCAAATATTTGTTCTATAAAAAACAAAAGAAATGGTATTTTTCAATTCACCTCATACAAGTACTGTAATACAATCTCTTTATTATGAAAGTTGAACTTACAGATATAAGAACATAAGAATGGCCCTGCTGGGTCAGACCAAAGGTCCATCTAGCCCAGTATCCTGTCTTCCGACAATGGCCAGTGCCAGGTGCCCCAGAGGGAAAGAACAGAACAGGTAATCATAAAGTGATCCATCCCCTGTCGCTCATTCCCAGCTTCTGGCAAACAGAGGCTAGGGACACCATTCCTGCCCATTCTGGCTAATAGCCATTGATGGACCTATCCTCCATGAATTTATATAGTTCTTTTTTGAACCCTGTTATGGTCATGGCCTTCACAACATCCTCTGGCAAGGAGTTCCACAGGTTGACTGTGCATTGTGTATATAATTATGTACAAAAACATATAGAATTATGTAGAAAAAATAACTGCATTCAAAAATAAAACAATGTAAAACATTAGAGCTTACAAGTCCACTCAGTCCTACTTCTTGTTCAGTCAATCACTCAAACAAGTTTGTTTACATTTGCAGGAGATAATCCTGCCCACTTCTTGTTTACAATGTCACCTGAAACTGAGAACAGGTGTTCACATGGCATTGTTGTAGCCCGCATTGCAAGATATTTATGTGCCAGATGGGTTAAAGATTTATATGTCCCTTCATGCTTCAACCACCATTCTAGAGGACATGCATTCATGCTAAGGAGGGGCTCTGCTCGATAATGATCCAAAGCAGTGCAGACCGATGCATGTTCACTTTCATCATTTGAGTCAGATGCCACCAGCAGAAGGTTGATTTTCTTTTTTGGTGGTTTGGGTTCTGTAGTTTCCGAATTGGAGTGTTGCTCTTTTAAGACTTCTGAAAGCATGCTCCACACCTCATCCCTCTCAGATTTTGGAAGGCACTTCAGATTTGTAAACCTTGGGTCGAGTGCTGTAGTTATCTTTAGAAATCTCACATTGGTACCTTCTTTGAATTTTGTCCTATCTGCAATGAAAGTGTTCTTAAAACGAACGACCGGTGCTGGGACATCATCCGAGACTGCTGTAACATGAAATATATGGCAGAATGTGGGTAAAACAGAGCAGGAGACATACTATCCTCCCCCAAGGAGTTCAGTCACAAATTTAATTAATGCATTATTTTTTTAATGAGCGTCATCAGAATGGAAGCATGTCCTCTGGAATGGTGGCCGAAGCATTAAGGGGTATACAGATGTTTAGCATATCTGGCACGTAAATACCTTGCAATGCCAGCTACAAAAGTGCCATGTGAATGCCTGTTCTTACTTTCAGGTTACATTTTAAAGAAGAAGCTGGCAGAATTATCTCCCATAAATGTAAACAAACTTGTTTGTCTTAGTGATTGGCTGAACAAGAAGGAGGACTGAGTGGACTTGTAGGTTCTAAAGTTTTACATTGTTTTTTTGAGTGCAGTTACATAATAAAAAAATCTACATTTGTATGTTGCACTTTCACGATAAAGAGATTGGATTATGGTATTGTATGAGGTGAACTGAAAAATACTATTTCTTTTGTTTATCACTTTTACAGTGCAAATATTTGCAATAAAAATAATAATATAAAGTGGGCACTGTACACTTTGCATTCTGTGTTGCAACTGAAATCAATATATTTTAAAATGTAGAAAACATCCAAAAATATTTAATAAATTTCAACTGGTATTCTATTGTTTAACAGTGTGATTAAAACTGCAATTAATATTTTTGCATTGATGGCATAAATTAACTGTGATTGACAGCCCTAATAATTATCATTATACATCTATATATTGCAATCTATACATTTGCCCCCTAAGCCTTCAAAACATTGGTACATATTACTGTATTTCACACAAATATCTGTGGACTGTATAGGTCAGCTAAGTAGGCACGGATTGTATTTTCTAAATAGACAACTAACCTAATTCTCAATTACGGAGGGACAATCTCCACTCATTGATATATTTTGCTTTCCACAAGCAAATCTCTGTACAACTTCTCATGAGTGATGTACCCGAGTATTCAGATTATAATATCTAAACTGTATTGTTAAATCTAGTCACCTAAAATTTGGGTTATTGCTGATTACGTACTCTATGTATTGTATGACTTTTAAAAACTAACTTTATATTTGTGGATAATCTAAGCACTATACCCAGATGTACAGACACTTTTCCCAACCTATGTATTATATATATATATATATATATATATTTAACATTAGCTTTAATAAAATTTGTATTTCTCTTAGCACACATCACAAACAACTCAACTGAAGCAGCAAATAAATCTAAAAGCAAACGACCTTTCCCCAGCTAACACCCCTCAGCAGCTCTGCCTTGTGCTTTTATGTTGTTACATCATAGACGCAAATGGGGACCGGGGCGCTCTTCCCCTTCCTGGGGCTCTCAGCCAGATCCTTTCGTCCCTTTCAATTCAGCGGGAATTTCCTTTTGCACTTGTCAGAACTAAAGGATCTGGGCGGGGCGCTGGGACAATGTGTATAGTTGGAGCGCTCTGCCCCATTGAACCAAACTGTAAATCCTGTATGGACTGGACACCCCTCCAAGTCAGGGGGTGCTGCAGCACCTCCCGCACCCCACCCCTACTTCCAGCACCTACGGGTCTGGGCCCAGGGCCCCTTCAGCCTGCGGAGTGCGGAACGCCCGGAAGCCCCGCCAGAGCCGCGGGGAGCGAGGAGGGAGCGATCGCCTTCTCCGCCCATGCACCGCATTGGCTGCTGCACCAGCCGCCTCCGCGGGACGCGCTCTGCCGGTTGGTGCCGGGGCACGCCAATTACCAGCGCCGACCTGCCCGTCGCCGGCGCTGTCAAAGTTGATCACCGGGCGCCGCGCTGCAATGGAGCGAAGAGCGGCAGCGGCGGCCGCCGGGGAAGGCGGAGGAAGGGGGCGATTAACACGGCCCTGGCTGGCGCAGCGGCGCGGCTGATCTCCCCATGCAGTAAAGGGGGAGCGAGCGGAGCGGAGCGGGGGCGGGAGGGATGCTGCTGCGGCTGCTGGGGCAGCGCTGTTAAATCTGCCGGCCAGCCCTTCGGAGGAGCAGCCGCCGCCGCCCGCCGCCGGCTCTTGGGCTTTGAGGCAGGAGCGGGAGGAGTCGAGGCGCTTTCCGCTAGTTGCCCCCCTGCTGCAGAGGGGGGTTTAGCGGGTGTTTACCCCCCCTGCGCCGACTTTTCTCCCAGCCCCCCCAGCGTAACCTCGGGTCCTCCTCCTCCCCTCCCCGCGATCTTCCAACCACGAGCATGTCTGTTTTTACCTTATAAAGATGGCGGTGTGGGATCACTGCAACCTTTAGACTAATGACTGTCAGAAACATCGCCTCCATCTGTAATATGGTGAGTACTCGCTGACCTGCAGGCTGGCTTCAGGGGCGGGGGTCGCAACTCGACAACCCCCAGGGGGCAACATCAGAATGGGCGGAGGGAAGGGGCAGGGAGGAGACTCCTCTCCAGGTGCACCGGGGAGTCAAGTTAATGGCTATTCCTGTCTAATCCCCTCGCTGGAGGCTGGTGAGATCTGGGAGTGGGTGAAGGCCATGTAAAGATAAGCATGAGATTTAATTCAAAACAGGGTAGTCAATGGCTTGAAGAGCTTCTGCTGACTCCTTGCATTGAATGGAGACATTCATCCTGTCTCCCCAAACCCCAACGATGGGAGAGTTCAGAGCTCAGCTGTCCAGCCACCCCACTGCATCTAGGTATGGCAAGGAGTTCAGAACAGTGGAGGGTCTCATCCTTTGTCCTGTGACATTTACACAGGCTGACAACTTTGCAGCTTGTGTCCCCACCTTGTGGCCCCAATTAAACACTTGAGCCAATATTTCTAAAACTGGATTCCTAAAAGTAGGTTCCTAAATCCATACTGAGGCTCCAAAAAAAGTGGCCTGATTTTAAAATCCACTGAGCACCCAAAGACTCCTGCTGAAGTCAACAGGAGCAAGTAGTGCTCAGCTGTTTTGAAAATCAAGCCACTTGTTTAGGCTTATGACTGTGGATTTAGGAGCCTAGCCGTAGGCACCCATTTTTGAAAACGGCCACAGGATCAGAATCTGTTGATTTTATACACCAATGGGGATTGCAGGGGATATACAGTAAATGAGAATTGGCTTTGGCCCAAGATGTTTCTGTTATATTTTTGAAACGCTTAAGGCCCCCCACCCCCAGTCTAAAAGGTAAGAAAAATACATTTAAAACATTGTTTCATTTCAGTTTGTGTTGGGTCTTGCTGCTTTTAGCCCCTATAAGATATGACAGGAAGATTTCTTTACACATTTGAATATGGTTTTCATTTTGACTCTACAGATTTTGGGGTTTGCTTATTAGACCACATTGTCTTTGGATTTTTAAGATTCGTTTGGTTATAGTTTAAGGGCTCAAAGGTTTTAATGGACTTGCTGCGAAAAGCAATTTATGGGGTAGGTGATAAATGCCCAAAATAAATAGGCTAAGAACACATTTCAACACCCTTTGTTGTTGTAGTTTATGTTTTCCCCCCTTGTTTTCAGGTTCTGCAAGAACAGTTACATGCAGTTGCCAGCTTCCTTCCATGTGGTGCCCCAGCATGCCCTTTGCTGGTGATGTCACACCCACCATTCATCAGCACTGGAGAATGGAGCCTGCCTATAGGGTAAGGCAGTGGTTCTCAACCTGTGACTCATGATTCCCTTGGGGGTCACCAGCAGTTGTCCAAGGGGGTGAGGGTTGTAAGTCTGCTCCCATTCAATGTCTCCAGTCTTATGCTGAAGTCGGTTTGATAGTCACTTGCAACCAGTGCTAGGAATGTCCCCACCCCCACTTTTCCAAGGTCCTCATTGCCACCTTTGGAGCACCTGTTCTGAGGTGCATTACTGGAGGATTGAATTTAGGGGTCACATTATGAAAAAGGTTGAGAATCCCTAGGGTAAAATAATCTGAGTTCTTGCCTCCCCTCCCCAATGTGGTTTCCTAAAGTTTTCATTGTTCTTGTTTTTTTAACCCTGTGGAATAGGAGGCAAGTATACTACAAAGAAATATATAGGAAACCATACAGTATTTGGGGAGAAAACCTGGAGTTACTTACCTTACCCTATAGGCAGGCTTCAGTTTTCAGTGTTTGATGAATGGTGGGTGCGATCACGCCTAGACTGCATGCTACAGCACCGCATGAAACAAAGCTGGAGATTGTTAGAGGGCTACAAGAGTTTAACATTGGCATGATGTCTTAAGAATCCTATGTTTGCACCCCCACCTACCCACATTATTTTAAAGGGATGCATTTGTGCTTTCCCCAAGGTCTAGAAGAACCACAGAGCAAAACCAACTAGGCTTGCATCAGTTTTACTTGCTCTTGCCACCATCAGTAGGCAGCTGTACAAGTAGCATCCTTCGAGTGTAGGACTAAAGAGGAGAATTAGGCTCTCAAACAGGAAAGAGACACAAGAACAGAAGAGGGATGGTCTAGTGAAGCCTCATGTTCAGGACCAAGTTTGGTTTCTTGCTCCCTTCATGGTATTGGGGTTGCAACAATGCTTTGTTTCTCTACCAATGACTTTCAGCTGAACGAAGGAGCTCTATCAATGGACTCCAGAGGAAGCTATGTCAACCCCATATGGGAGGACTGCTGCAGTGGGTGGCCTGTTGCAGGGGGAGGCATGTGGATCATAAAAGGCTTCCAAAACAGAGGGGCAAGAGAAGTAAGAAGTAGGGAGGAGAGAGACTGACACAAATAAAATGGAGGGAAGACAAGAACAAAATGCATAAAATCCAAAGGAGAGGAAAAGGCACTAAGAGTGGGATTGGAGAAGGGTGAATGAAGATTGATTTAAGTCAACCCTAGAGATCGGTTATTATAAATTCCAGCTAGAACTATTAATGCCCAGGTCTTAATCCCAGACCATATCTCAGTGCTTGATACCAAATGGCTCAATTCTTCTTTGGCCTAAGAATTAACCAGTTAAAGGAGAAATATATTTGGAGTTCATTACCTAGTTGAAAGGAATTTTAAAAATTCACTCTGTTCTTTTCCCTTTATCCTTCTAGTTCCCCTTCCATTTGAAGGTGTGTACACAGAATGCACGGAATAAAAACCCTTGCTTACTTGGTGTTTGCTCACCTACACTGCTATAAATATTTGTCATGTAATGATGGATTATAGGTTTTGGATTCTAACCCTCTATTAATCAAGGATTTTTTGTTTGGAAATTTTTAAATGCTGGTCTCTAGATTAAATGAATACAGTGAGAATTAACAGCGTGAAATTGGCTGGATCTAACTTGGGTTAGTCAGAGTCGCAGGAAGAATGCTTGTTATGATTTAATTGGCTGCCTGAGGGTATAGTATGTCAAATTGTAAGTCTGGTCTCCTGGTTATGGCGAGGCACTGACCTCTTCCAGGAAGGCCAAAACAGGTGTAGAGAAACAAGTGTGTGAAGGAGAATATTTTAACTTGTTTAAAAAAAAATAAAAATCTAGTACTGCATATTCAATAGATGAGTCCTCATTTATTGAGCCCAAAGCAAAAGAGTTGGCAACACTAACTGAGCAGAAGTGATCCAGTAAAAGAACTTAGCAGATATCCCTGTCCAGGTGTTAAACAAATAAACCCACAACTTCCAAAACAGACCAATAAAGGCCACGTGCTTTGTCTTTGTACTGTCCCCACAATTAGAAACAAAATTGTCATCACTGGTAGGTGAGGTCTAAAGCCCTGATTTTGCAACTTGTTCTGCACAGGTGTACCCCTGCATTCACGTGGTGCTCCAGTGAAGTGAATGGGACTCTTGTGTGACTGGTGGGATCCACCCGCTCTGCTCAGATGTATTGTAGGGGAGTCCAACTCTCTCTTCTTACATGCCTGACAGATGCTATGAAAAGTTGTTAGTCAAATGTGTGTACAGTGCTCTAATCATGTTAGGTGATATAAAAGTGTTTATTAGCAATATTGCTTGGGGAAGAATAGTATGATATATTTGAGAAACTTGGTTCTAGGGAATGTCCATGCCTTAATGATACCCCAGCTGAAGGGAGTCCAGGTGAAATTAGGGACTTTTATTTTTAGTACCTGTATTTACTCATATTGTACCCATATTAAACTTGCATTGTAATCCTCTTCTGTAAAGACCCTTGAAGACAACCAGTGTGACTAGAGCATCGAATGTTTGGTCCAGAGGTGAATAAGCATGTTGGAATTTTTAGACTGTTACTGAAATCCTCTGCAGTGCGTTTCTCTGTTGATGGCCTTCTGATTTGGCCTAGGACTCTGAGTTCAGCTCAGGCTGCAGCATAGAGAATGTTGCTGTCTTGTGTAAGAACTACATCTAATAATTTATTAAATGTATATGTTTGTTTGTTTGTTTTTGTATAGGGAGACCTGACAAGCTCTGTTCTGCTCTGAACAAGAGAAATACACCTTTGTGTTGTCCTGCTAAAAGCAGGTTTTATATCTCCTTCCCAACATTTTTCAATAGTGTTTGAAACCACCTGATCTCCACTGAAAGATGATATGTCAGTTTCATGCATCCTGGTAGCATGACACAACTTGTGAGGATCTCTTGTCATACAATGTATCACAGATGTCACATACATTGTAGTTACAGTAGACTCTGACATGTTTGTTTGGTAATCCTATACAATGTATAAATATGTATAAATATGAGTTCAGTAACAAGTTACAGTACAAAAAACCCCCTTCAAGTTAATTTGGTTTTCTACTCTATATAAGCATGGCTTTAGTTTTTCCAACTCAAGATTTTATCAAGTCTCACAATAACTGGTGCTTTTCTTAAAGTCCCAGGCCAGCTCCAGGAGTTATGTGAATGCATGA